AAAAAAGAACTGAAATACCATTAGGGAGTTAAGTAAACCTTTTAGGTCTAAAATGAGTAAAAAATAGTTTAGAGGTTAAGGGCTCCAACAAAATAGTTTGATGGAGTAACAAGTGATTTATTTTCTAATCTAAAACAATTAAAATAAGAAATAGAATTTCGCTTGAATTCAATATCCTGCAACGGAAATTTTAGGGGGAAGCGTGAAAAGCGTCATTTCTAAGGGGTCGTCTAGATTAATATCATTTCAAACCATATCATTTTTGATAAAGTTAACAAAGATATACATTTATTTAGTTTTTTATCAAACTTTAATAAATATATAAAAAAATCATGCTAAAACTTGGTAATTTTGATATTGTCAAAATTTGGTAAAGCTTATTTTGGCTAGCAGCCTTTTAAGTCAGCAGGATGCTGAAGGCCTCTGTGCAATTCGACCGCAGAAGCACGGCCTACAAAAAGCCCAAAAGACCGAGAGACCAGAAGACTTCTTCGGTTAATCCACTACATCCGGCCCAACAATTGCCACGGACTCACACTCACCCGTCCGCCGAAAGCCTAATCCTCGCTCCCGCCGTCGCGCGGCGTCCGCTTGACGGCGGTTTTAATTTGCGCACGTACCACGGCAGCCGCCGCGCGGCCGCGGCAGATATCCGGGGACCGTGGCCGTGTCCTTGGCCACCGGGATCACGCGCGGTCTCGCGGAGATCGTCGCGGACTCGCGGTGCGCGGTGACGCCGGGATCGCGACGACACCGGGCCGCCCGTAGTACGCGGCGGCGGCTGAGGCATGCAGCGAGGGGGACGGCGCCGTGGCGTATGATTCATCCTCCCGCAAACCTGCCACGCACTACGCAAAAGGTAAGGAGCTCTAAACCAATCGCTATTAACGCACTGATGGTTCTCGTGCCTTCGTGCGTGCGAACGTGCCAGTTTTATACATTAGTTAAATTTAATGTTTACGCACGAGTTTAATCTGCGCCGATGGGGAGATATCTGGTGTCTTAAGGCTCATGTACCTGTAGTCAACTAGTCACTCTACTGCTTTTCTTTTTAATCTACTTCGAGAAAGGTGGTCTGACCCCAGATAGTAGCTAGGTAGTATATTTGTAAGCAGTTTTACCTTTATTTTGTTTGAATGGGTAGGGATTAGGGAGCATCAGGGGCACTACTCATTCATCCACTTTAGTTCTATGAAAAGTGGGGAAATGATATGATAGTATCAAGGTGGAGTAGGAGTGTTGTCAATTAGCTCCTACCTAGGAATCACATTTTCAGATACTCTACTATACTGCTAGCTAATAACCAGCAAAAATATATAATGAGTGCAAAATGTGCCAACTTTGAGCGTGTTTCACAAAGTATATTAGAAAGGATTAGTGTGCGACTTGCTACCACATACTAGCCTTTTCTGCCTCTTTAGGAATAGGGACATACTGTAGTAGCCACCATATGAAAGATTCAGTCTTACTACTATCTTCTATGGGCCCTTGGTCTTTAAGAAAAACTTCTGCTAGGAAAAGGAAGAAGACATGCCCATACATTTAGTGCGTGTATTGGTATCTAAACTAACTAGCTAGATTTTGCATCTACCTCAGCATTGCATAGAACTGCTATATGGATTACTACGTTTTGGTAGGTGCGCTATCTTAATCTCTTTTTTAAGAGATAATATGAATCTCTGTTTGAGCAGGTACTATCTTTAGTCTTTCTATTAATTCTGAACTATTTGAAAAACGTGATCAGCTGAATCAAGAAAATAAGCACAGAGTAGCTTATGGCCTACTGAAACCGTTATATATCCTATAAATTTGAACTCTCTTTATTCTTTCATGTCTACTTTGTGACTACGTCCTATTCTACTTTTAGTTAGTACGGTTTATCGATATTTTAGGTTTGTTGGTTCAACAACTGAATTGGAAGGAATCACCGGATACGTACGTACACGAGGTCCCAATAACTAAACTCTAGCTTAATTGTGTATTCAGTTTTTCTATATAGTTCAGTTGTAATCCTCATGATAGGATCGAGTTGGAGTGGTCCTGTTTATTCCCATTCTAAATTCAAGTTGCCCGGCCGGAGTGGCATGGCCATGCTACCACACAAAGTGGGCAAATCTAATTGAATCTCTTTAAACGATTAGGCTTTTAAGCTTTTCTATACGTTTCTAAAGCACTGCAATTTGCAACTCATGCATGCATGAAAGGAAAAAAAAAAGCAGTACATGTACAGATTCAGAGCAACTGGATATCAAATAGTATATGTTCTGCCCTTTTAAAGCTGTTATGTCTACGTACAGCTCGTTTTCGTTCCGTCCTGAATTCCGTGCTTTTACACCAGATACGTACTCTTATTCAGAGCATGTTTGCCATGTTGCTTAATTTATGCTCTGTTGCATCATAAAGCACAAATCACTTTGATTATCTTTGTCTATGTTGGCTATCGAAGAAATTTCGTAGTTGTTCGTATACTGGTATCATAAACATATACATAAATATCGTACAGCTACTGACCTCAACAATGACTTGTGATCGCTTTAGTCTAGCTTTTGCTGGCTATTTTCTGCACTGTGGCATGCTGCTCTTTGCCTTGGTTGGAAGGAATGCGCATGGTTCATGCATACAACGTTGTTCAAGAGTCCATCTCACTTTATTTTTTCTTTGGAACGACCGAGACTATTCAGATCAGTTCATTGCTGAATGGGTTTGAGAATTTAATAATTTGTTTGCAACGGAAGAATTTGAAGGAATTATGAAGGATTTGCGTTGTTTTTTTTTTTTGCTACTACAAAAAGTATCAGTATTGCAAATTGGCAACGCCATTCAAATGGTTGAGATGTGTTCAAGAAAGGGTATCTGACATGATGGACACGCATTTGTGTGTGCAAGACTGATGAACATATGAAGTAATTTGGTTTGTTAGGATGACTTCCAAGTCAGGGAAAAAGGAGGCGGCATCTTTTGGCTTTTGGACCATACTTATCACAGTCCTGTGACGATATATACAAAGGAACAAACATACCATACAAGAAAATAATGTTTGTTTCGAAAAAAGACCAATCGTTTTCTGGAAATGGAGAAGAAAAGAAAAAGGAATCATAAAAGCGAAGGACGGGTTATCTCTAAAGCACATATGTACGTGCCACAGCGTCCACCCACGCACAAAGGAAGAAGGCGAGATTCTTCGTCTCAACGAGAAAGCTGATGTCTACACAAGAACTAAGCCAGATCTTTTGATTACTAATCATATTTTGAATAACATTTCGTATTCTTTTTAGAATTTTGATTTTGACAGCTGGAGGCAGCTATACATAGAAAATCAAAGTACTAAACTATAATCCCAGAAAAAAAGAAGTAATAAATTATAATACGACAACAAGCTAAAACACATTTACGCAGCGTTCGAGATGGTGAGAGTGAGTTTGTTTGTTTCGTTTTCCGCGCGCACGTTTCCCAAACTACTAAACGGTGCGTTTTTTTAAAAAAATTTCTATAGGAAAGTTGCTTTAAAAATCATATTAATCCATTTTTGAAATTTAAAATAGTTAATACTCAATTAATCATGAGCTAATAGCTCACCTCGTTTTGCGTATCTTCCCAATCTCCTCAATCCCCTTCTCCTCAAACACACCCTTATTCAACAAAAGCACGTATTTCCGCCTCTAGATAAAAATTATATTAATTTACACCCACCATATAAGTTTATGCATCGTGGATGCAAATTACTCTTTCTTTAATCCAAAGAGCCCCTATGGTTAATCACATAGGGTAAGGATAGAGGTAAAATAAATGATTACTCTCTATTAATTGTTCTGTTTGGTAAGAGGTGGACGGAGGGTTTTGAAGATGGGGAGTATTTTGGAAATTTCCTTGCTATAAACACCCTGTGGGTACTCTAGAAGCAACTATATTTTTTTAACAAAATTTAAATGCTAGAAGTAATTATATTTTGGGACGGAGGGAATAATAAACTATTGCTCCTATTTGTCATCCGTCCATAGTTTAGAACGGCTTTGTAAAGCGTTTTCTCGTGCTGACAGAGTGATTATGTGCAAGCAAAGATGCTTATATTCATATTACCATAATATTATTTATTTTAGATTTACCATTAGTAATGGCCGGCTCTCCCACTGATTCGGTTCAAGTCAAATATCCCTCATTTGCGATTTATTCGCACAAAAATGAAAGGAGTAAATAAGAGCACCTAATTCCAGAGCGTAAGCAAAAGGGGAAAAAAGGAGAGAAAATCTCACCACGCGCATTTCTCTAATTCCCATAATATTTATTTTAAGATAACGGAAGTGACGAACAATTCCCTAACATTGGAGATGAGCTAGATACTCCACATAACACTTCCAAGAACGTAAAAACACGAGGCATCAATCTCAAATACAATAATCGGGGTAATTAAAGATAGGGTGGATCTGCTCTCACCAGAGCGTTTCACGTGACTTCGGCATGGCGTGTTTGCTCCCGCTATTATCCACGTCGTCCGGTTTCTCCTTCGGGTCACTGGGGTGTGGATCAACACAAAACTTTTTACGACGGCAATCGACTGCTCTGTGCCGCTTGACCCCGTGGCTGACGAGTGGGCCTAATTCTTCTCAATCGACCTTTCTTTGATGGGTATAGGCGCGGGCCTGTAAAGAACGGCTGCTATGCCGGCCCCTCGTGCCTATAAAAAGCTGCTTTGGTGCCTTCTTATTTGGTTCGATGGGCCTGGTCCAGGGTGCATAGAGAATAAGTGGGCAAGAAAATAATATGCTCTCTATGGACCGGGAGCACACATAGCGATGTGCCTGTTTACCCGCATACTCCTTGCCCCACCGTCCGAGCTGTTGGAGCCACTGTGTATTTGATAAAGAGAGTTACCACTGACATTTGGGCTCCCCTATTGGTATGGTCCCACCGATCAGCCAGTAATTGTCGTTGCCCATTGGGTGGATTTACCCTATGTGTTTTGCGCGCCCAATGGGAAATCGACATTGGGTATAGGCGCGGGCCTGAAAAGAACGGCTGCTATGCCGGCCACTCGTGCCTGTAAAAAGCTGCTTTGGTGCCTTCTTATTTGGTTCGATGGGCCTGGTCTAGGGTGCATAGAGAATAAGTGGGCAAGAAAATAATATGTTCTCTATGGACCGGGAGCACACATAGCGATGTGCCTGTTTACCCGCATACTCCTTGCCCCACCGTCCGAGCTGTTGGAGCCACTGTGTATTTGATAAAGAGCGTTACCACTGATATTTGGGCTCTCCTATTGGTATGGTCCCACCGATCAGCCAGTAATTGCCGTTGCCCATTGGGTGGATTTACCCTATGTGTTTTGCGCGCCCAATGGGAAATCGACAATAGTTTCTCCGTTTCCCCATAGTGCTCTGGAACCCATCAATGCCACCGAATGCCCTTCTCTCCTTTTCCCCTTTCTTCAGTTCTTTTCTCCTTTTCAGTGTGTGAAGTGTTCAGAGTGCTACAAGCATTATCCATTTCACTCTTTGGTTCCTATGAAGATGGCTAGGTAAATTTCTCCATGCGCGTGATGTTCTCAGCATTCTTGTGCAATGTGTGAGTGTCCTCAGCTTATGCGTGTTTTTCTATCGACGTGTCTTCTGCATTCGTCGTCACCTTCATATAGGAATCAGGCTTGACGTCACCTACAGATCGCCCGTAAAGCAAAAGGTAGGGCCTGGTTGGTTCCTTGCATTCATCCGTGAGCTTTGATGGTAGGCTTACTCCTCTTCATGGCGCCCCGGCGCAGTGATCGAGGCAGCGAAGCCGTGCCTCGATCCCCAAGACATCGTCCGAAGCCGTGCCTCCGACAACAACACCTCAAGCGCTTGAGGTCAATGCCGGTTATCAGCGCTCGGCGCTTTTAGTTATTTTCTCATGTGAGTAACAACCTCTCCTCTATTGTCAGTTACTTGCCATGCATGGTATCCCTGGTTCTGACTGCTTGCCAACCATCTCAGCCACTATCTCAAATTACTACCTCTAACGATAGGATTTTTCATCCATATTACCCCTGGCTCTAATTGCTTGCCACTTTCTCAAGCATAATCTCAAATTGCTAGCTCTAATGATACGATTTTGCATCCAAGTAGTTATTTTATGGCCTACCCAAATATCTACCAGGATTCACCAGTGTTATGAGGGATTCTGCATTTTGGTACAGTAGTCGGATGAGATCAGCAGAAAGTGAATCAACTATATGCTTCCTTGAAAAGAAAATCTCCCAGTTTTTGTACGCTGAAGCTTCATCTGTTATGTGTTAATTACATAAAAGGAAGTGACTGCTAGGAGCCACACAAGCTGTGGCGGGCAAACTAATACTCTTTTGAGCTGTGAGCCAGTGAGGCTAGATTGATTGAATATATGTGGAGAAAACTGCCCACAATATGTATTTTAGAACTAGCTGACATTACCAACTAATTTCTATCATGGTAGCACCGTGGTCAGGACAGAGCTTTGGAGTTTTTAGGTGCCCTCTATGTAGCAACAAGTGCAATGCAAAATTTGAAGGTTCACGTCCACTTTAGATTTCAGGTCGGTTTGAGGTTGTGTCATTTGTGTGCCATGAGGTTGAGCACCCACCACCTTGCCTAGGAGATGCAACTTACTTTTTTCCTGAGTCATGTCTTTGTATCAAGCTAACTCTGTTAGAATTATCATCCTCATTGACTAATGCAAAAGCAGATTACCAGATTTGGATCTACATTACAATTGTGTTTCTGTGTTAAAAGGATAAAAATTGCTAATATTTATCTTTCTTTCTAGTTTGCCTTCTACTCTAATTGGTATGTGAAATGGTTGTTAATAGACAGTGGAATCTTTTTTTTTAGAGAAATAGGTGTAATCTGATTATAAATGTGAATATCAAATCTGATGACTCCTTTTGTTTTGTCCACGTAAAAAGGATTGGCTACTACCATAGAAGGTGCTCAAGTTTGTCAAAATTCCAGGAGTTTCTTGAAGTTGATTTTTGGTTATCTATCAACCTTGTGGCTCTGCTTTCTCATGTTATATTGTGCTAAGCAGCTACATTGCAGTTCAAGATGTATTATTTTATACACAATCTTTGGAAATGTTTGAATTGCCACTTAGATTCAGTTTTCCTTGAATGCCATGACTAAATGCATGTCTTTAAATATAGCGGGGTATCACTGCTTAGTTGCCAGACAAGAACAAATAACTGATAATAGAACTTGCTGCACTGATTATTATCTCATCTTCCTATTTTGTTTGATATTAGTTTTTTCCTTTCTAAATTAATGGACAAGAGGAACAAAACCAAAGTCAGGAGTTCTTTTTTTGTTTACTCTGTTTTTCTATATCAAATTTAAGTGACAATGCTGTGACACTTCTTACCGACAATATGTACTATAAAATGATTAGAAAACCTATCAATTGACCTCCATGACTATCTTTGTACTTAATATTACTCTAAATGGGATATTAAAAGGCAATGATGATTTGCTCTATTTTTTTTTCTCAAGATTTGAATGAAAGTGAAGTTATATACAATTACAGATATGGTAACATACCCTATAATATCTCAATAGAGCTTTGTGAAGCCTATGCCTAATGTTTGTTGAAATAATCTACCATATTCATGTTTTGCCTACTTGCCCGTTGGCTATGTGACTCTTATTATCTAGACTACTACCCTTCACACTGGTTAAATTGGTCAAAATTTTGCTTTGCTTTAGATGCTCTTAGCAACTATTGCATAGTCATGTTATTTGCTTTTCTTTGAATACTATTCAATGCTCTTCTATAATTGTATGTAAGCTACATAGCTTTTGATGAACGGTAGGGCGCTGCGAAGCGCGTCTAAAGTCCTAGTGTGACCCTTAAGACCGAGATAGATCTTTCGATCGATCTGTGGCGCCTCTGCTTTTGTTCTTTGGGATAGTGCTGACTTTGCCGTTGCCAACCGCGCGCTGAACAGTGAAAAGCAGGCAAACACAGACTAATGGAGGACCCGGCCTACAAAGATGAGAAACTCAGAAACAAAAGCATTGATTCTCCCATGAAGACTGGCTGAAAATTGTGATCAAATCGTAGCTCCATCTCCGCCTGAAGAAACACGTACGTCGCCATAGTGGCAAGCAGATTTCACCGAGGCAAATCTCGCTGCTCCTGCTGGATTGGTTGTCGTAATGTAGTTGCTTTGACTGTCAGGAAAAGTGTGTGCCAGGTTGCTGCCCCTACTGTTATTAGGATTGTTCGGTTCTTACTTTCCTGTCTTTAATTTACTACAGTCGTAATGTCTCATCTGCTCCTTTTATCCATTGGAAAAACAAAATAAAGGAAGAGTTGAAGATCGGCCACCTTTTGTTTGTTTTAAGGGTTTAATACTCCGACATAATGTGGTGGTGTTGGTAATGATTTTTTTAAGCTAACGTCTATGCACAGAAAATTTTCGTGCACACCAACTAGCAAATGTCATAGAAAATTTTAGAAAAAATTAAACACATACTTTCAATGGTATTACATCTACGTGTAAAATTTTATCTTCAAATTCATTACATTTTAGTTGTAACAAAAAAGACAAAATTCTTATAGATTTTTACTCTTATAACTGTCAGCTTTTTCATTTTTTTACGGCTAAAATATAATGAATTTTAATATGAGATTTTGCATATATGTGTAATACTATTATAAGTAAATACCTATTCTTTTATAGAACTTTTCGTGACATCTGTTAATTGGTGTGTATGGAGTGTGTATAGGATATATTCTTTAGATTATCATGTCTTTATTTTAATAGAAGTTACAACCACTCATTAAAATGTTCAACTAAGTGCAAATGGGGTTACTAATAAAAGATGACAAGAAAACAATCTTAAACCACACTAACATAAAAAAAAGGAGATATGTTATTTAAGAAGCAATCCTATTCGTAAAAATCGTCATTCGAAATTAGCAAAGATCTGTATGACGTTGTCTCCGATGTTGTATATGATAACTTGAACTTATCCGATGAAGGAATTTGGCACAACCATTGGACACGCCCCGCTTGTGTTGGTAATATTCGGAAAAAAGAAGAAGAAGAAATGAACAGCAGTACAGCACAATCCGCTGTGACGCCAAATCAAGGATAAGAAGGCAATATCTTCTGCTGGATTTCTACCAAAAAACAAATTAAAGGCTTTACCAAAACCCAGTGGCGTATGGCCCTCCATGCAACCAAAAGCTGCCATGTTTTAGCTTTAGTGCACTGTTGCACATCCCCTTTTTTTTATTTTTCCCTTTGAGAGATATTTCATGATCTTACAAATCATTTTCCTTTTCCAATCTCTGTACGAACTCAGAAGTGCTTCTTCTTTGCTTTACAGAACCATGAATTGTCAGTCACACATTATTATTACCAAGCATATTTATTTAGGATTTGCAGACTGTTGTCTTATATTAAGCATATAGTGCGTGCTGTTCATTTCAATCCTCCGCTTTTTTTATATACTAAGCCGTTACTTTTGAACATATATTTCATTCTACTTCTGTCTTATTAAAACAATTGTGTAATTATCATTTATTTTGTTGTGGCTTATTTTAATTAGGGCATCAATAATGTAAGCTACCGAGTTGACCATTAGTGTGGGACTAGATTACACGCAGTAGTAGAAGACACGCTTCATATTGCTTATATACGCGAGGATGGGAATAAGGTGAGATCCACATGTTAAAAAACCGGTCGGCAAGAGCGACGGTTGGGTGGATCAATGGCCACATCCTTTTCTCCTATTTTTTTTATTTCACTATGTCAAGAAATATTGTGTTTGCTCTCGATAGTAATGCTACGACCTGGTATTACTTACATACCACTCTTACAAGGTACGATGACATCCAATGCTTAATTACTACCTAATTTCTTATAGGGCTTGTTCAGATTAGTGTCATTTATAACATATCGGTTTTTTATAAAATTGATAAATATATGGATGGATTTAGTTTGTTACCAAACATTGATAATGCATAGTGAATTTTGGCAGCAATACATTAGTCAAAATTTGGTAATGTTGTCAACTTACCAAAATTTTAGCATTGCCAAAATATGTAAAGGTTCATTTTCGCAGTAATCTGAACATGCCCATAATATTGTGGGTGCCCTTAAATGTAACTTTAAGCATGATATATTTTTTTTCATATTTGAAAAAAATAATAAGACAAATTGTCAAATGCATAACTAAAAGTTTCATATATTAAAGGGAAAATTGCCTATATAGCCCCCCTAAATTTTGACTGAAAGTTTATCTAGCACGCTAACTTTAAAAGCCGATATTTAATTCTCTAAACTTTACAATACTGTATTACGTCCTCAGGTGATTTTGGACGGTGGTTTTACATATTTGGAAACTTAAATGGGCGATTTTGAATTACTCTTATAGCATGTTTATATATCGTCAATCATCAGTCATCAATTTATACTCTATATTAATTTGTCATGCTAGTATTATATCCTCAATTTTTAAAAAGGTAAAAAAATGGAAGGTTTAGGTAGACATTTCAATAAATATATGTCCAAATCATACGCCACCTAGTCAAACTCATCCAATATATATTCAAATTTAATAAAAACCACTTTTCAAAACCATCTTACGGTGTTGGAGGAATGATATTGTATGGTTTGAGGGGTTGAATGTCCGGTTTAAAAGTTTAGGGTGCTAGATCGATGGACTTTCGATTATAGTGTAAGGGCAGCATTTAGACTTTTTCGTAAATTAAAAATGGCGGGAGCAAATCTCGGAGCATGCGTGTAATTGATTAGTAAATCCTTATCAAAAGAATGCGATTAGTAAATAGATGATATGATAAAAACCTAAGCATGTGAACCACGACCTCGTAGCTTCTTTAATTCGAAGGATGCACTGGCAAAATTAATGAAATTTTTAACTGCATCAGATCGATGATCTGGTCATGATTGAGTAATTGATATGACAGCCTTCTTTCCTTCATCCCTTTTGAAGTGCCTTCCAAAGCAGCTAATTGCATATACTAGAAGAGCTTTGCAGTCCTTTTCAAGAATATAGAATATGGAAAAGAAACAATAAAGCTAAAGCAAGTCTTTCTCTTAACATAGCATGTCACTGCACGCTTGCTCTGTCAAATGTTAGTTGCTTTTGAATTTTGAGGCTCGAGAGAAGTCACAGTTGCTAGTGTACAGCCTATCTCGAAATACATTAGATTGCCGCAAAATTCAGACACGCTCACACACACACACCACCAACAACAACATATAACAGCAACGGCAACAACAAAATAATTAGCTCATGGTGGCCAACATACCTAATTAGTTGATCACTAACCTATTTCCAATAGCCAAGAGGTGATATATGGTGCTTATTCTTGCTTTCTTGTACGTGGTTAATTAGGTTATCATGCCAATTGACAGAATGCATGTGTCAAACGGACTTACCACCATGTACTATTACAGTCCATCATTATATAGAATTATAGACTTGCACAGTTGCACTCTGCAGAAATATATAGCTATATATTGACGAGTCGAAATATATAGCTATATATTGACGAGTCTATGATGAACAATTTGATTAAATTTGACGTTTTTAAAAGATTAAGTACATGGTATCTAGTTGTTGACTAGAGTATGCATGTGCATAAATTACAAAGTAAACTACGGTCAGTTTAATTATGGCACATGCTCAATTGAACCCAGGGAAGCAGGGAGCATGGTTCTTTGTGTAGTCTGCATGTGCACGTCGTAATAGGTTTAGCATTAGATTGTACTCATGCTCTTAAATGGGCATTATTTTAGTACCATCCTCAAAAAATCTTTACTACAAAAGTAGCCTCATTTATTTCATTTCGATCTACAGTGAGATAAAAGAAGATTGTACGGCTTGAAAACTTTGTAGCATATATCATCTAGTAGTATATTATTTGTCAGGTTACCCACTCGTACAAAACAATATTCATAACAAAGATGAATAGATAGATGATTGGTAACACGACAAAACAATGTTCTAAAAAAACACGACAAAACAAAGAACAACATGAGAATAATGAAATGGTTAGCTTTTGTGCAATTGGAGGCTCAACAATTCTTTTGATGAAGATATATGCCCTTCGTTTGCGTGCTTCTACATGTTGTCATGAATTATGATGAGCACCTGTCGAATCCAGATGCAATTTGTTTATAAACAATTTGGACCTTGGTCGGACAAAAAAGCCATGAACAGAGGCTCTTCTCAGTGGAAGCAAGTTCAGCAATGCTAGCTACCAGTCTACCACTTGATTAGTTGATTTACATGGAGACCCAGCTGATCCTATCATGGAATAAACAAATCAGCACGTGCAAATCATCGAAGAGTATAGTTTACTTGTTATTATTACTCCTACAGCCTAAGTGATTAGAACATACTAGTAGTTGATAATTTGACCAGTGACATCTGGAGACCATAGTGTTGTACAGTGTACACGGTTTTAATTTCTTAATGCAGCTACATACCCTTCCTTGAAGCTGCATCCTCTAGCAGTATTAGCTAGTGAATGTAGCCAATAATTAATGCATAACTATGTCCTGATTCCTTAAGCAATCCAGAAGACAAACTAACATACTAACACGTTGCTATTTTAATCATGCATGGCTGCGAAAGTTTACTGTACCAGAAATATAAAACTGGACAGATCATCTTCACTAAGATTCCTGGCGATCTAGCAACGTGGTAGCATGGTATTGTTTTTGTGTGTCTGGAGTGAGAAGAAATTGATTCAGATTGACTGACCAGTCTAGTGTGTATTCAGAAATTCAGACATCAGGGACGTATAATATGAATAGACATGTGTAGTACTGACTTAGACCACCGTCATTTCTAATGCCCTAGCAAACAAAGAAGCTATATACCAGTTGCTTTCGATGTACATCATGTACATGTTGAAACTTGCAGCTACAAGCTATCGGAGAATTCATCAGTGGGTTGGGTAAAGAAGCAAATATTGTTTAAAGCTAAGTAAAATTATTTTTGTAAACATAAAGTGCTTTCAATAAGATTTTGTGCTAGCTTTTACGTCCCACCCTTTTGTGATTAGTCTACTCGATGACCGGCATGATTACATTGCTATTTCCAAATGACAAGCTAGCTAGCGCTATCTTTTCTTGATTAGTCTACTCGATTAGCGGCAGCATCACTTGCAAATGATAAGCTATCTGCACGCAACACTTCATTCATGGTAAGTGTGCATGATGCATGTATATGCTTTGAAGGTTAGTATAAGTTGTGCAGATTAAAATTATGTGCAATCAAACACTAATCTCCAAAAATTCCGTGTTAGTGGTCAAACATTTTTAGGTTTTTCCATAAATCTCCTAACATATATATACAAAAT